GTAAAACTGATTTTGGAGAGACGCCTGACCATGCCCTGTTTGCTTAAATAGCATTTAGAAGCATGGTTGTAGCTGGTCATTAGCTACAGCTTGTAATAGCTTATAAATATCAGTAATATAGCACTCATTAAAAAAAATATAGCAATAATAGCAATGTTTGCTGTAGCACATCAACTATTTTTGATGTGCTATATTTGCTATTTTATGATAGTGATATTGTCAGCTATAGCTATTGATTAAGTAGCGTTTAAAAGCATGGTAGTAGCCGCTCTGCTACAGCTTGTAATAGCTTATAATAGCACCTATTTCACCAAATATAGCAATATGTTTGCTCTAGCACATCAACTATTTTTGATGTTTTATATTTGCATTTCACAAAATATAGCATATGTAGCTACAGCTTCTAATAGGTTATACAGGTAATAGCAATAAAATAGCACCCATTTCACAAAATATAGCATTGTTACCAACCGTCTCACATCGTGCGGGACAATCCCACATTTCAAGGGGATTTTGGTTGAAACACGCATTTTGCAGAAACACGCAGCGTGATCATAAATTTGTCACGCATTTAGCACAAGTCTATGCTTGATAACAAATTATTACGAATTCAGGGGAAAATTAATCAGTAGGCCTATGACTAATCATTTTTTGTTTGAGTAATTATTTGTGTTTATTTACCAAACCCGATATTGTCAACACTCCCCTCGATTTAAAACAGCTTAAAAATGCTCAGATCGTCAGAACACCAAGGGCCTTCACCCCCTGGACCACCACAGTGCTCCACTTCTGGACCCCGGAGGCCCCCCCCCCCCCCCACCAACCAACGGTGTAGTCACGTATTTCAAATCTCTCAGGTTGGTAACTATGATATAGCAATATATTTGCTGTAGCAGATAAACTATTTTTGATGTGCTATATTGATATTGGATCCAACACGGTGCTCTAGCTGCTACTGTCGCTATGTTTGCTATATATCATTATTGGGTCGCTTTGGATTGCTATGTGAAGCTATTTTTCCTATGCAGCATTTTTGGTCGCTTCACAGTGCTTGAACTGCTATTTTGGATATACAATGATCCGACACAGTGCTCTAGCTGATATTGTCGCTATTTTTGCTATGTACTATTTTTGGGTCGCTTCAGATTGCTATGGGCCTCCTCTTTATAATAGCAGTAAAATAGCACCCTTTTCACAACTGGCTGATATTGTCGCTATGTAGGCCGCCTACCAGCTGAAGTGGTTGTACTTTATTTAGCAAATACCACCAAGAAAGCACACTTGGTCTCATTTCAAAGACGAAATTGAGGGCGCTACACAAAGTCTGGATGTCAATGGCTGTAGGTCTTCTTTTTCCTTTTCTATTACCAATAACACCTCCTTACAACACAAAGCACTTAATATGCCTAATTATGCTATCAATTTGTTTTCATTTTTAACAATAACGCAATCAGAATCCGAGTCTTGCCCCATGCCAAGCAAATGTATAAAGTAACGTCTACCATGCAAACAGCTGTTGTACGCAAGTAGGCAGCAGGCAGTAACAGTAAGCTAGACACGTACTCTACTGCATTCGTTGGAAATGTTACTATAATCATGTCATGATTCGACATCAATAAAACAATGTGGAATTTAAATAAAAGACACAAAATTTTGACAAATTATATTGATTTGTATTCTTTATTTTCTCCTAGTCGAATAAACATATCTATAGAAGTTGCTTAGACTTTAAGTTAAAGGAGTACTGTTATACAGTAGAGCTACGTAATAAATGTAGTCACAATTTGGATGGTTGAGGCAAAAATAAAAAATAAGGAATTACAAAACCAGTATTTTTTGTAATGTAAAGTAACAAAGATGAAAACTGAAGCAAAAACAGGTTTACAATTTCTAAATTCTACCAATAACAAAATATCTTAGGTTATATATTATCCACCAAGTAACATAAACAATGTAGTGATTTTTAAATAGATAACCAAACAAGTATGATTCAAATTACACATAATATATATATATACTTAAAATAGTAACATTACCAAAAAGTAATGTTGTAGCATCTTAAAAGTACACCAAGTTCTACATAATATAATTGGGTCGTGTATGTTACAAATATTAGTTTATAACATGTTTACAAGCAAACTTGCATAATTAAAATCAACTAGCCTATATCTATACATAAATTTATATAATCGTTTTAAATACATATTAACTCATTGTTTTTTTAATATTATTAGCTTATTCTGTATCTTTGGAAATAACAAAACTGACAAGTTGGTTTAATCATCACACACAAACTATTCATATAGATATTGAACAAACAATAATTGATGTATATATATATATTACATTGTCATGTTTTTAAAGTAATATTGTCAAAAGGAATGATTTGGTGAAAAAAGAACCACAAGAAAAGTTTAAGCATTCACGTGAAAAAAAACCCTTGTATTTTGAAAGATGACAACGCTTCTAAAATAAAGAAACTAGCCAGTACAATACATCACTGATTTGCTTAAATTCCATGTAAATTGCATGGAATCAGCGTAGAAATAATTTGACTGAAATGTTATATTTTGTACCAATTTAAGTATATTTTCGATATAATCTTGATAAATAAGCCGATTCGTAGTTTTGACTGCGCATACCTGTATCCAAGGTCATTTGGCATTCTGTTGTGTTTACGTATGTCGAGTGACCTTGATACGGGCATGCGCAGTTCAAACTGCGAATGGCTATCAACATTATTAGTGTTTTTGCTTCCAAGTCTGTAATTTACTGCAACTGATGAAACAAGTTCATAAAGCCTCAAACCGATCATTCTACCAACCAGGCAGTGGGCACAGCCACACTGATATTCCTAAAATGAACAGAGCCACTGCAACTTATCACCTGATAAAACAGAACTGATGAAACCATCAACCTGCATCTGACCAAACCCATTTATATTAAAACATCCTATCAATAAGCGACCACTGAAACTAATTCTCCAGTCAGACGTACTCAGTGATAATCATACTCAAACAGAGAAACCACAACGCTTGGCCACTACAGTCTGAAACTAATATCTAAACATCAGGCAATTAGCCTTTCTGCAAACTGACCATTTTGTCAAAAACACTCCATGCATCCAATCTGCAACTGCCATCTTATCTGACATCCAACCACCTGCACCAAGTCTCCAACTGACTACCCTACTACAAAGCATGCCACTCCTTAACCATCCAGCAAAATATCGAGAAAACACTCAAGGATTAAAATAAAACTTTCGATTGCCGCATTTTTTTTGTGTAAATTTTCAAGTTTCAATAAATCACAGATTGGAAAAATGATTTACAATTATTTACGCAAATTCCAGAAGTCTTCAGCAGAACGTTATGGTATATTCCAGAGTTATAGGAATTGAACGTCTGTTAACTGGCGAGGAAAGTTTTCTCGATCAAATTTTAAGTTGGTAAACTAATAATTAAAAAATATACAAATATGCAATTCATTTTTTGTATTTACAAGTTCATTAGATCTACGTGGCTTTATATCATCAAGCATTTTAGAGTATATTTGCCAGTAAAACCTATGTTTTACATAAAAATATCTATAACTACCAAAAACATTACACATACTTTGCTTATTCATTTGTTCCTAACACTTATTTGCGAATTTGGATCAACCAATTATACAACATTTAAATGAACTAATATAATTGGGATGAAATTTAGGCCTCCGTGAAATAGCAGTGACTTTTGCGTGTCTATTGCATTGACAGTGTTTTAAATCTAGTGAATCTATTGCCTCAACTACGGGAAACACCAGCACTCATTGTGGTACTGGTACTGTTTTATTGCAGACAAACCTCGAGAACTAAGGGCAACGCAAGTAGCCAAATTGCATAAATAACGAGTAAAATTGAACTTTATCATAGATACAGATATGGTTCAAATCTACAAGGGTATCACTTGACATCATACTAAGGCCAATTTGAAATTCAATCAATCACTAATCTTGATATTTTTTTGTTTAACTAGTACCAGTAACACTAATCAATCTTCCTCAAGATAAAAACTAAATAATTCAGTTTTACATTGTAAATTGAATGAACTAAAACTTATGCATACCTAAATAGCCTTCATGTTACAGAACATCTCGTCTTCTAAAAATATTAAGAGAAGTAACATTTGTAGGAAACAACTTCTCTTTCAATAATAGGCAACAGGGCATAATATTCATATACAGCATATGCAAATATATTTCATAATTTCTCTTTAAAAAATGAATTAATTTCTATGTACATATTCCTTGATTATTCAAGTTCAATTAAACGCAGGTTCACTTTCACTAAGAATTTTCAACTTCATTCAGTAGAGATTGTAAGTCTCCATGGTAACAAAAGAACCTGTGGTGTCTCCTGTGGGGTATGTTTTTAAACAAAGATGACCATCACATCTCCGTAATCTATTTATATTACTGCTATTATTTCGAATGTTTCCAGAACTTATTGTCTTCAGTTGTAGCGCTGCTACTGCTAATGGTAGTGCTTCTAGTCTGCTGCTGCTAAAACTACTACTTTTGCTATAACTACTAGTAGTACTACCGATAATGCTGATGTAACTACAACTACCGAAACCGATACTACTGCTGCTTTAACTACAAATACAGTTTTGGTGAGTCAAATGGCCGAGCGGTTAGCAGGGGCGCCGCAAGCTATATCCATAATATCGGCACTGGTTCGAACGGCACGCTTCTCGGATAAGGACTATAAATTGTAGGCCCAGTGTATACAATGGCTCGTGTGCACTATAAAGAACCCAGTATATCCTTCGAGACGCGTAGGGGATACCCCGGTGTACTGGAACAGACAGCCTCTGTGGTGGACGACGAGAGCTGCTGGTACCGGTTTACCGTGTAGCACAGACACGAAGGGACCCTTAGGGGCGAAGAAAGTCATTGATCGAGTTCCTAGTCCACATATCAAGCGCCCTGAGCATCTTACATTAGATGGATATGTGCGCTATATAAAACTACACTATTAGTTTTGCCCTGCATTATTTCTACTGTTCTAATATAAGTTCACAATATAGGCCAATCATCATCATAATATTATGCACAATGATAATAAAATTAATAATTATGGAAAAAAAGTTAATTACATGCACATGTAATAAAATTTATTTGAACATGCACAAAATATATTATGTCCCATTAGTGAATGGTCAACTATTCCAATAATTCACATTTATTTAATCTAAAAAGTAAAGGTACAGAGGAAATATGAGGACGAAGATTATCATATTTCAGGTCCGATTAGCAGAAAATCAATTTTAAAGAATGTTAAGAAAATGTGTATTCCATACAATAAATATCAACAATATTTACTGCTTAATTAAAATTCCCAATGATCAGAACGAATGGACATATAGTTGGACAATATTTTGTACAGGAGGAGTCGTGTATCAATATATTATTGTACAGTATTTCGTGACCATTTATTAAAGTAAATTAAGGTTACTGTAATCTGTAATTGTAATATAATTGGATAACATTTTACAAAAGCTTAGTTTATACAAAAATTGGTGAAAACTGTGATTTGGCCACATTTCTCCTGGTTGATATTCAAACACCTTTTGTTGAAATGGAACATGTAACGAATCAGATTGGAAACAACCAACGGTATCTTTATCTTCACGGTCAAGTACAGAACATCCCTAGTTCTTTTTTAAAGCACAATATGCTGAACCAAGTTCAAAATGATTTTCCCCAATCTTCAAGTAAAAAAATTTACACACGCTCTGGTAAAAAATAAAGCTAAAATAGAATATATGTAATGCATTATTATTTAAAATTAAATTTAATTTAATTTAATGGGAAAGATCCTACATACATTATGAATATTATATGCATGAAGTGAAGGTACTTGACAACATTATTTGGTCATCTAAAGAGACATAATTGTGGAAAACTGCTTCTTACTTCCTATCTAAATATGAACCTCAAGGTTTGTAATGTATTTTGCCTTATTGCACCATTATTTCTAAAAGAGAAATTACCACAATTTTCCAAATCCATTATACTATTTTATCTCTTATCCATATTGATTTAATTTTTTAAAATCTTAAATTACACAGCACACGATTTATGGATTCCTAGTCAGACAGTCTAATGTATACACTACCACTTAGTAACGCTTTCCATAGACTAGACTGCTTAAAATGTATTGAGTGACTGATAGGATTTTTTTTATTTCTATTTCCTTCACATTCAACAACAAGTACACTTGCCACTTACAGGATGAGAATGATGCTTTATAAACTAAGTCTCTCTATGAGGCTTAGGGAGTGGAGTTGTTTTTGGACGTGAGAAAAAGTCACAGGAATCGAACCCAGGACCTTGGGATCAGAAGGCAAGCATCTTAACCACTGAGCTATTTAACTCCACTCAGATAGGATGAGAGTCTACAATTGAGAATTGCACAGATTAATTAGTTAAGTTGATAACTGTCACTAAAACAAGATCCAATATGTACAATCAATACTAACTGTGATACTCATATTCAGTTGGTTAAAGATTCATATTACAAGGCCACCAAACGTACCTTAAACTTAACAACTGACCAATCAGAACTGGGCCAGGAATACGCATGTGTCTAACGAACAGGCACCTGGTTTTCGTATGTCTTAAAAGTAGTTTTGCGGGGCCTTAACAACAAAGTCCAAGGGGCGGGGCTTAGTGGAAAGTTAATTGCTTACAATTTGAGTACTGTATGTAGATATTCTGCATAACTGATTACAAGTGCATATGCTTCTGAATGAAAATATTATTTATCCAGACATACTGCAAATTAGACCTTACCGTACTGCCAATCAAAACCAACTGACTTATCAGAATGTGAAATTTCATATGTGGTCCAAGGAATATGAATTGTGCATGTTTAAAAAATCGGAAAATCTGTAACCGCGAAAGCAACAGCCCACTGCCATCTCGTCCTTAAGGTTGATTTGCAAAACGAAAGTGTAAATGTAGTGTACACATGTTTGTGGAATAACACACGTAACCATGCCTTGTTCTGATTGTGCCAGATGTTAAGTTTGATTGACAGGCCTGGAATGATTGAGTGACTAAAGTTTCATATATGTACGCATACATCACAACAATCACTATGCCATAGATTAATAATTCATGCATGCTGGCCAACTGTAGAATTGATTACTACGTTTGTATACTGGATACATCCCATAAACACCAGTTTATTCACCTCTAAAAATGGAAAGTTGTACAGATATTGCTGTTATAACAATTGAATACAATGATATTTACCATATGCCGTTCTAGATTGAAACAAATGCTGCCAGGATTTAAAATTTCAAGATGTCTTAACAACTAATTGATATTCAAAGCTAAGACTCCATTAAGACGTTAGACATTCGCATTTAAAAAGCAGGCCATTAATAATCACTTTACCTAATATATAATACAAATTTGGCATTTATAAGGCAACTTTCCAGTTGGTCAAAGTGCTGTAGCACATACAAAAAATAGTAAAATGCTCAATAAACACCAATGCAAAAAACAAATGTATCTCCATTGCTTACTCATAAAAAAAAAATGAGCACATGAAAATGAACATTGCACCAATTGATGAGCTACCCCTTTGGACTCTGATTAGATATTTGAAGTTAGATAAAAAAAATACGTTTTTTAGCATCTTTTAAGCACAATTTGTTGTTTTTTTAATGATCTGGACACAATTATTAAAAAGAGTTACCACATAAGCAATGTACGTTAATGAAATTACTTAAAACACTCAATATAAACACAATAATCCAATGTACCCCATGTTACAATAAACATTTGTAATGTAATAATTATGTAACCATAACTTCTATGACATTCTAAATTACCTTTAAGAAAAATAAATGAAATACAGTTTATGTGTAATATATAATTTGTTGAGCTTCAACAGAAGTTGGTAGTTGTAATGTATATGTTAAACTTTTGGATTATGGTACTTAACTGAAACAAGATAAACTGTATATCAATATTTTATCTAAAGGCCACCATGCACATACTTTAGAAAAATAAATGATTATATTCATAAACAAATTTTCTACAATCTTCCTCATTTTTGCATCTTAACTGTTCTAGCTCAGCATGCCTTTCCTTAACACTACTTAACAGCAAAAAATAAAAAAAAAAATAAATCTTTGGTGCAAAGTAATACATACAAATCAAATGTTGAAATAAGAGAAATATTACATTGAAACATAGCCAAGAAAAAAGCCATATACAACAGCTTATTGGATTAAGCAAACATTAAGAACACTTAAGTAACTGTGAAACATGTAAACACTTATAGAGTATTCTGACATAAAATGTTTTGATATGTAGTTTTGCAGATTGGCCAAAAGTGGTCCCTGAATAAGAGCATACTGTGATTATTTTCATTCATGGTGCATGAAAACATAACTAGGCATCATATTACGTGATTGGATCCATCATAAACTTAGTAAGCATAGTGATTGTATTACTGATTGATTTATATAGAATTACTTTTAAATGATCAGTTTTAACATGTACCATCCTCCTTATTGATAAACAACTACTGATTAATTGACCAATACATTTTTATCTAAAAATAAAAAAAAAATTTTATGTGACCTATAGATTGTTCAAATGATTTTGTTTTACTGTTTGTTTGTTATGTTGATTTTCCAAATGAATGACTGATGGAACATTTTGATTTATTGATTATTTCCATTTAATATTTTTTCAATTAATCAATTATTACTGACAACTGATTTTTTGATGGAGTGACTGACCAACAGACTAAAATCTTAATTGACTAATTGATTTATTAATCCCATGCATCTGTTGGATATTCATGTTCACTTTCTGCAACATTCTCTGCCAACGGCAACTTCTTGACTTTAGTTGATATTGAATTAAACAAACCATGAAATTCAGGTTGTCCACTGTCACGCTCATCTCCAGGCAATGTTTGAAGTTTCTTATCTAATTGTTGATCGATCTGATTGATGGCAACTAAGCGAGATACTGAACCCGGCTGTCGTCGTATCTCCTCCATAAGTAATGATCTTGAAGGACCTGGTGAAGGTTTGTCAGATGGTGGTGTAGAAATATTGTTCCCTTTCAACCAATTGAATGTGGCATCTGGAGGAGGAATAGGTATCGACTGCCTAGAAACATACCCTAGTACTTCTGGAACTTCTGTTGGGGAATCAAGCAATGGTGGATTTGGCAGTAACTGCAACTTAGAATTTACAGATCCTTCCATAACATTCCTAATTTCATTCATTGTAACCATCTTAACTGCAGCAACAGGTTCAGCGAATCCATTCAGTTGATTACGATCAGTAGATGCAGTCTTCACAAGCAATTCTGTAGCATTGTGGCGGTTGTTCTTACCACGGACATTAAGAGCCGAAGCAGCTGATTCTGTTCTGGATGAAGGAGACTGCTGTTGAAGTAAATAGCGAAAATCTTCAAGGGATGTTTGAGGTTTTCCTGATGCTTGGCAGACTTTTACTGGTGTATGGTCAACAATAACTGTGTCTGAAAAAGTGATACTTCGGGGTGACATTACACTAGCAATGGAGCTGTCAGAACCAAATGGACCATTGGCATTACTTAAAGATGCCATTACAGCCTTGCGATAAAGATCATCATTTTTTAAGTTACTCTTTCGCCTGTTTGCTTGTAAAAATGACAATCGCTCTTTACTATTCTTCAAGCTTTTGTCAGACTCTCCAATTCTTTTCTTTAGAATTGAAAAGGTTGGTTTCCGGTTTGGATCAAATACATATTGAGTTGGACATGAATCTGTCCCTTCTTCTATATGATTGCTGTTATGACGATTTGGTCTTGGTGAAGAACTATCTGATTCACTTCCTCTAGACGGACTATGGTAACCAGATGCATCAAATCCATTAATAAGAATAGGGTCAAATGATGTTTTGTAATTTGATGAATCAGTTCTAAATTTTGGTGTAATCACACCGACAGGCTGGCTAGAATGTCTGCCATTTTCTATCTTGCCTGCAGCTCTTATTATTGCCAAATCAGGATCATTGTTACTGTTCTGTAATTCCTCCCTATAAGAGTTTCTGAAGGAATTTCTTGAGTCATTTTTTGACCTTTTCTCCACTGGGGATATCAACTGCAAACTTGGTTCTGCTTGCACAAATATGTCCTGACGTCTTGCCTGTTGTGGTGAAGAGGATGTATTCACCGACATTTTCTCACTTTTGCATGCCCCAAAACTAGTTTCAAACTCAATGTAACTATCATTCTGAGACTTCATTGAGTTTTCATTTGAGATTTGGTTATTCCCAGGTGGATTTTGATTGTGCACGACTGATGGCTCTGAAGTATCTTTCTGTTTAATTGGAACATCTTTTAAAACATCAGGTTGTTCCTGCTTAGTATCTAAATGGCATATCGTCATCAGAGAGTTTTTATCTTTTACAGGAGATCCTAAAGGACTTGTATGATGTTGGTCGCATCCATGGGTGATAGTTTTTACTGCAGGCATGGCATTTTGAAGAGAACTCTGGAGTTGCTGCGAAGTTTGTGAATCAGGTGAATCTAGCAAAGTGTAATCATCTGTCCCTGATGATGCTATTGGACTCTGATAAGCATCTTCATTCCCTGTGTTCTTTTTGTGTACATTTGAACTCTGATGTGTAGTGTGGACATTTAAAGTAGAAATATTATTATTACTTTGACTTTCATTATTATTAGCAAGTGAAGTATGTCGCTGAACATGCTGATCACTTGACTGAAGTGAAGAAAATCTGTGTTCTGTATCTGATGCAGGTTGAAGATGATTCTGGTATTTAGACTCATCTGTAGTTGGTATAGAAACATGGATGTGTTCAGACAGGTCTTTTGGTGATTTCATAGATTGAGAAGTTGTTGATGAAAACATCTTTTGTCGAGGTGATCTTTTGATGGTATTATAGCCTTCAGATCCGAATCCATCTGGGCTTGGAAGATCAACTTTTTCTTTGTCTACAACTTTATTAGACCTCATCTGTAAGGGACTCTGTTTTTCCCAAACAATGTCTGTTTCTGTAATGCTTCCATCAGTTTGCTGTCGCTGCCAAATCGGTTCCTGCCTCTCTACATCCTCCAATGCCGATATAGTAGAACTAGCAGAGTTTTCACCTTGTGAAGTAGCACCATGATTATTCATAGGTTTGCTGGATTCCTTTGTTTTCGGTGTATTTATTTTAGATGAGACCATTTTGGCAGGCTGACCAAAACTGGTTTCATTCCACTGCAGCACACGATCCAAATCTGTTGTCATTACTGTCTTCCGTGGTAACCTTGGTGATGGGGTTACAAACTTTGGAGGGCTTAACCTTCCATCATTTTTAACAGATGACTTCATTGGCTCTGGAATAGATTTACTCGGCTTGGATGATTTCATTGAATTGTTTCCATTAGTTGAAGCCAAATTATAGTTATCATGCATCTCTCCAGTATGTGTTTTAGAGAGCTCCTCACCTGGCGGTGAAGGTAGATGATCATTGCATTCTGATCCATCTAATGTGTCTAAAACAAAAATTCCATATCTATGATCATAATAGCTCTTTCTTCCATTATTACTCTGGTCTGCTTCATTTGTATGGACAGTCTGCTTTGAGTTTGTTGAGCTTTCATCTGAAACTACACCATCTTCCTTTACTTCTTGTATACTGCTTTCGTTCCCTTGAGTTTCAGGTTCAGGTTTCTGAGTCTCTCCCTCACACTGATTCCCAAATTTTTTCCAAAGATCATTATGGGAAGGATGATCATTGGATGTCATTGATGTTTGATTTGATGTGCTAGAGCCTTTTGTAAGAGTATTATTAGGCGAGTCATCATAGCCTGCTGATGATAAAGAACTAATTGAGTTTGATCTTTGATGATTGTGGTTCCTTTCTGAAGTGCATTTGATCATGTCATCAAGTTGCATACTGCCAGTAAAGCATATTGTGTATAGTCCACCATTAGAAGGGGTCCTCATTGGTTCTGGGAGATCATAACTACTGGTTTCTGAAGTAGTGTCAGAGAATCCTGGTGACGAACTCCTGCTATTTGGAGACAATGCACCACTGTTTGGTAATTTTAAACTGGTAGGTCTTGTTTTTGTTCCTTCAAAAAGATAGAAAATAGAAAATAATCAAATATATCATACCAAATCACAACAATTTTTTCAGCTATTTCAAGGACAGCAAGGGGGCCACATTAATCAATCACTTTTATTTTTCAAAATAAATATCTTAAAGATATTTATATTGTCAGAAAATGACCATCAATTTAAAATTAAATATAAATTTGCTAATTTAAAATATAAACTAAATGTCTCTTTACAATTTATCATTTTGTAATGTTAGGTAGTTTTGTTATGTATCAATATTTTATCAAAATTTGAACAAGGGAGTGCATTCTATTTATAAAAATTCTAATGCTTCCAACAATCTTTAGGGTTTGCCTAATGCAGCAACATTCCTAGGTGGATGAGAGAGGAGTTTTAAAATATGTTGTCCTTGAATAAAGGCACTATAAGAACAGTATATTATCTACTGACAATAATATAAATATCATAAAAAATTTAATCTGTATTTAATACTGTAAATACATATATTGTAATATAATTTTTTGGTACACCATATATATTACTGATTACTACAAATACTACTTTGGAACAGAGGTGTGTATAAAAAAGAAATTGTTAGTAACTACTGTACTATTCAAGACTATTATTTTCTTTAATGTAAATTATTTCATTAATTTTATTACTAATGTAATCAATACAGTAGACAAAAATAAATTACCTTTATCTGTGTCCTTGGATGACCCGTTAGCAGAATTCTCCTTGGAAGAATGGGGGGGCCGATCAGATGCTGGAGAGCCTGACTTCTTTTTCCGCAAACGCATCTTTGGGCTCATTCTTCTTGGGAGAATGCGTGTTGAGTGTCTAGAGCCAGATTCTGACTCCTCAGAGGTATACCCAATTGGAATAGCAGATGGGGGCATATACTTAGTCTGTCGACGGCTCATACTTGGTAGACCACAATCAGAATGCATAGAGGTCCAATAACCATCCGTATCAATGGAACACAGAGAGTTGCTAGAATCAAAAACCTCGCTCCCAGACTGACCTAAGTACATTTCTAAATCATCAGAAAGTTCACTAGAATTCTCAAAATTATCTATTGAAGTTAAAGACGAACTACACGTGTCTGATAGCATAGCAGGATCATAATCATGCTTTTGCATTGGTGCCTGATTACCAAACGCTTTCTCTACCACTGGTTGCATAGCCCCAACAGATTGAAGCCATGATTCTGTATCCATATGGGTGATGCTAAAATCAACTGCAGTCTGTGAACAATCATTGTTCTTTTTAGAAATTTCCATTAATGCTTCTTCACTTCCAGCATTAGTCAATGTTGAATCTGACGTCTGACTAACATCTGAAGAGCTTCTACCATGCTTAGGACTCCTGATCTTCTCTGGACAATTCATCGAGACTGCAGAGTCACAAGTAGAAACCAAAGAGCTTGAGGCATCAGAAATCCAAGACTGACTAGTGTCTGACTGAAGAGAATTTCTATTACTATCGGATTCACTCCAGTTTCCTGAACTAGATTGCCTTTCATCATGCCGTTTACTACTGCGTAGCCTTACGTCTGACTTTACTGCTGGTGAATGTGTTGTTGTGGATAGATTTTCTGCTTCAGTTTTGCGTAATGATACAACATCTGGCATCATTTCCGTCATAGTTGAAGAATTAGTTTTAGGAATGTTATTATGTATGTAAGTACTACGTTTGATGTGTTCCGCCGAGGCTGACTTTGGAATTTGTCCAAGATGCAAATGTTTTCGATCCAATTCCATTGACTTCGGCCGCAACGGTGAGGATGATTCAGCTCGTTCCTGTCCAACCGAACTTTCCAATGAATCTGCAAGTATATTAAAGCCCATAATTAACAAACATTGCATTATACAGTATTTGCTGTATATAACCTTTTGATTACATTTCTTTATATTTCAACATACTGAGCTAAATATTTGATCTATTGTTTGGTTGCTCTGATGAAAGACAAATACAAACTGCACTCTAATCTACAGTAATGACACCATATAGTCACAAGTATACAGTCCTCATTGTCCAAACCTCTTGCATGACTTCTCAAGCTGCAGTTTTACCTCATAGAATGTAAGACAAAAACAAAAAATCATCCATATACCCCTAGGGGCCCAACCCATAGGTTTCTCGGTCTAGCACCCTGACCAAAAAGGACTTTTTGATACACCAAATTTGTCACAAGATTTTAAAAATGGAGATAAGAAAATTATATTCACAAAAAGTCTGTAAGTGCCATTTTCGGCCATCTAGACGTGCCATAATCATACATTTTCTTATCTCAGCTCCAACCATGGTGGGGCTGAGGTGATATAACCTCTCCAACCTGGCCCTTTATAAATATCTGGATCCGCCATGGATATTGAATAATTTATATAAAACATTTATTATTTATAAAACATTTAGAATAGCAATGCAAATATGATTAAAAAACGAGAACATTTACGATGGAATGGGCCCCCGTCCCCATCGTTACGTCACTGAATTCAATATAGGCAATCATACCTGCTGAAGTGTAAGGTGGTAATGTCTCACAGCTCTGACAACTTGTAGGAATACTAGGATGGTCAGGCATTGTCACCCTTATTCCTTTTCTCCCGCCATCTTCTTTCTTATTACTTCGTCTGACTATTAAAGTACTTGTTCCATTTCCATGCAAATCAACATGCTTTCCTTCAGGGAGAGTTTCATATTTACCAAGCGATTTTGGACGCTTTTGTAAACGCAAGGAAAATGGCCGTCTCCGTGTTCCAATAGGCTGAACAACAGCGTACTGACCTTCATTAAGGGACTGCCGCCTTAAAATCAAGTTTCTATCGAGACTTTGAGTTCTTGATAGACTATCCTGATCTAATTCCAAACCAACGATTGGTAGAGATTGGTAATCTTCATTACTTGAGGGTGCAACCCTTACATCAGTTGGTGCACCGCAGATTGTTCGCCGTCGCAAACTCGATCTTTTATTTTTACTCCCATTTGATCTTCGAAGGCTAGACATTCTCTGGAAGCTACATCCAGTTACGTCAATGCTGATAACTGATGAGGGCAGAATATTCTGACGTGCTACTTCCTCAGGAGTTGGCAGCGGCGCATTACTACGTGCAAAGTAATCTTCATGAGCATCACCTTCAGACAGAGGTCGTGCTCCTTTTGGGGAGTTTACAAATATTGTTTGTTTTCGACGCTGTTTAGGAAGAACATGGTTGACGTGCTGTAATTTAAAAAAATATAGTGATTTAAAATTAGCAAAATCATTTAATTTAAAAATCTTTTGATCATTAATTTTTACAATAACTTTTTAATCAATATGGCGAGACCTTCTTATACCTTGTTTAGCGAACCCTCTAACCGCCAAAAATTGTGATTTTGGATAAAAATAAATTTTATTAACTTATTTTTGGTCAGACAGAGCACCCTCCACCATGAAAAAATGGAAATTTCATTAAAAAGATAAAATTATATCTATTTTTTTCCGCTCTCCTGAAATTTCCAAAAAAAAAAAAAGATACTGTAATGTAAATGCTCGAATAAGCACCGTGGCACTTATACAATTTTTGGAGGCTTCAGTGCGGCACTTATTTGAAAGCGATGCTTACTGAATTCGAGAGCAACACTTATACAAAGATATTGGCATGGCGCTTTCCATACCCGTTCCCATGTTACCTATCTCACGTATTCCCGTAGTTCAGCAGGCATATCATAGGTCCTACGTCATCGTAATAAACGTTTATAAAGAAATGTTTGTGTTTTCCTTGCGTTGTTTATTTATTTTAACACTGTACACATTGTATTTAAAACCCTGTTTCTCAAAGTGTTTCATTATATACTTAGCTTAGCTTGCTTATTCGAGGATTTATGGTATATATATATATATTTCTTCCTTAATTATGTAAATTTAAAGTGTTTACTGTATCAATCTCATATTATACGGTTTAATTACTATTAATTATTAATTATTATTATTATTATTAATTATTAATTTATTTTTATTTTCTTCTCTGCCTTGATGGTTTTGGCAAATTCATTTCCCTAAATGAGAAGACAAAATTTTATTATTTTTTTTTCTGTCCTCCGCTGATGATCTTATATAAACATAAGTTCGTGAAACAAGGTAGAAAAAGTCTTGCCTAAAATTACTTTACAGATACAGGTATGTGCAAATATTTGAATACCAAAAGGAATTACATTATAGAGTGATATAGAAACATTGCATAATTGTATCAAATTACAGTTAGTAATGTCAGCGATAATGCGTATGCAGTCTCTTCACATACTGTATCTTGATTGTTTCTGATTTATTATACGCTGTTTCACTCCCATTATACATCTAAAATCCTGTTTGAATTTTTATACCAAGAGCGAATGTGTAAAAACTTCATCCTAATCAAAATTGATTTTATTTTGAACAAGATGAATGGTGCCTTTAGTCAAATCATACCACTGTTTGCACTACCTGTAGGTTCTAAGATACCCTAATAAGATTATACGCATGCGTGGTCATTCTGTGAAATGTGCGGTGATACACAGGGTACTAGCATGCGCTCAGAAAGATTTAGCCAAGTCACACTCTTTACGGTCGACTTCTCTGCCCAAGAAAAACAGCCTGGTTTATTTTTCCTGGGCAACGTTTACTCACTTCAACCTACCGAATGTTATGTATGTTGATCACACTGGACTTGTTTGGTCAAATCGACCAGGTACATGGTTAGTTTGACCAAACTTTATCCAACGTGAACATAACTTCAGGCTTTACATAGTTGCAATAACAAAACAAACTCATCAGATGGTAGAAAGTATCGGTTGGCCTTATTTCCTCAAAAGCTTGATACAGTATACCAAATTTGCAGGAATTTGGATAAAGGTCGCACCAAATTTTGAGAGTCGGCAGGATTTTAGGACCAACAAGTTGTAAATCAACGAGGGGAAAAAGCCATTCATCTTATCAATGTGCTCCTCAGTTTTTGAAAAATTGTGCGACAGACTAATAAATTTAATAGCAAAATATAAAATGGTATATTGTGGGATAAAGAATAAGTGAAGAAAATACCTACCACAAAGAGGACAGATGGGATACAGCCATAAAACAAGACATGTGGGGAAAAGATGAACCAAACAAGCAGGAGATACATCATGCAGGAGAAAAAATAAAACAAGCAAATGGCAAAATATTAGTATTTCATAAACAAACTTTTTTTGAATAATCAAATAATTTTAATACAAAATTTATTGACAAAAAATATTGATGTTTCAGGTCAATTATAGATGCATTTTCAAGATAAAGTGACTGTTTATAATAATTTTTCCTGTCACCTTCTGTACATTGATTTTTCTATCTTATGTTATTTTGTTCACTTGATCTTGAAAATGTTTCTATAATGGATCTTAAACATCAATCTTTTTTTGTGAATATATCAAATAATTACTTAAAAATATGAAACAAATAAAAGCTCAACAATAATTAGATAAAATACAACAATAGGTTAATGATTAAGTACAAAAAACATTTCTCAATAATTACTAATAATTATTTTTTAAAAATTATACTTATTTATTATAAATTTTATAACGATGGAGGCAAATAATTTGAAATTCAGTTTTATTTTTTTCACATCTAGTAAAAAGAACAAACCAATATATATTTTGAGAATACAAACTGCAAAAACATACTGTAATTTTTTTACTACTGTATTCATGTAAATTAGTATTTGTGGTATTTGAATTCAAAATATTTCTATATCTTAATAATTAAAAATTTATCTTGAACTTTTAATAATGCATTCCCACAAAGCACACTTTGATAGTAATATCAACTAAAATCTTACAAAGCAAATGTATATGAGATTTTAAGTTTACTGGGCATTCAAAAGTTGAGCCTTGCTTTTGCAAATTAGTCATACTATAAATAAAACAACAAGGATTTGAATCCAAGACCAAAATTATAGAAAAACAAATGTTTTTTATTAAATGGTAAAATAATATTATGTCGGATATATGAGAAATTTTTATTGTTCAAAAATTTTATCAGTGGGCCAAAATAGTCTTTGTTACCGTTTGTACAAAAACAAGGCACAAAATAATTACGATACAGTAGTAAGATTACTTGTGATCAGCCAGGCAAAAATGCATTCAATTTGTATTGTCCATGTGATAGGTGAAGTAATTGATTTTTTTAATCAGTGCTTGGAAAAAATCAAGTCAAGTGCAACAAGAAAGGTGAAACACATGCTAGAAAGATGGGCTTGTAGTAACAGTGTGAGGATCATGTATTTTAACATCATCTTCTATCTTCTATTGTGTCCAGAAAGCAATACTAATATTAATAATAATGAAATACAAATGAAATATTTAGTAAAGTACCACCTTCTTTAGACTAATAAAATTTACTGAGAATAATAACATTAGTTTTTAATTTGTTTACTTTGTAAAGTAAGTTTAATAATCTAGCTTTTAATTGAATATTTAATTAACTATTTTCATGATGTGATGTCATTATGTCCATATTTCAGTACAAAGGAAAAAAAACACATTATTTTCCATTATAAGCGTGGTTGCCTAAAAATGCTAAACCATGCATTGCTAGTGTTTTCACTGCAACTTTACACTGCGTACCTCTTCTTGATACGATTGTAAAGGCTCCCCCAATTCGACCGATCAATCAGTGCTGTCGAAAGGTGTCAGCAATTATAGTATGTAGCAATTTTATGGAAACCAGACTACTGTATGAGGTGTTGTGATATTTTTGCATGTACACTACTGTAAATTGGCTATGGTAAAATCAAGTCAGATTTATGATAAATCTTCTGTAGGTCCTAAATCAGCATAAAATATCTATCATTTGAATTGACCATTCAGCTAAACTCCACCCCTTGGATTTTGTTGCTTTGGTCCTACAAATTACAGAGACAACATGTGTGTTGTACAGTAGGACAAGCATGTAATCTTTGCACCATTCTGATTGGTTGGATTTTAAGTTGATACTTTTGAAATGTTATCATGAACTTCTGGGCTTTTACCAGATTGTATCATACACAGGGACCATAAATAAAAGTGGAATATTCAAAGCGAAATATTTCTGACTATAAGACTGATGTAGTCGTTTTAAATAAACAAAGGACAAGAAAATTTGCACGTGATCAGCCTAGAACTTCAAAATGAAAGATGAGCACTTCAACCAAAATTTCACAAGAAGATTTTTACATGACAAGATGAGGCATGTCGTGGCGAAATGGTTAAGTTGGTGCACACATAATCATGTCCCAAAGTATTAGTTCTGGAAGTGGTTAACAAATTGTTTATTTAACGTTATTTTTCATAGTTCATTCTATTAAACAATGTATGCACAAATAACTTTGAAAGGCAATTACTCAAAATCCTGTTTATCTTGACTCTAAGAGTACTGTACTTTCACTTTACAATACCTAAGGCTTAAAATGTCCAATTTGAATGAATGACCCATCATTTTAAAGATCATATACTCAAGTGTCTGAAAATATCAATAACTTGAATTTTAATTTTTTCTACAACTTAGCCATTTTGCCACAACATGCCTCATATAATAAAGGACAATTTAGAGAAAGTTATCTTTAAAGGACTGTCCAGGCAATCTAGTTCTTTCTGAAAAAAACAAGTGATGTACCTAAATACGGACATGATGACATCACATCATGACCATATATAGGCACATCTTGACTATGGGCACACTGTACAATAGTATTTTTTTTCAAAGAAAATAAACTGAGACAATTTTTTTTTGTATTCATAACCATCTGGCAAAATCAGATATGATGCGATGATGATAATTATTAATCTGAAGTCACTTAGCAACATCAGATCAATAAATAAGCACTTTAAAGCTGAAGTCATATATTTCAAACAACTCAACAATGTACAAGTTGTAATAACCTAATTATTTCATTGTGAATTACAACCAGTTGTGGTTAAATTCAAACTGCCACGACAGAAGATAATATGCACAGCCACTAATATGCACAGCCACGTGCAACATGAGGTGCCGTAATAAATTGCCACGGGCTAGGTTCATTAGTTTCAGCAAGTACACAAAGAGTTCGGTTGGAGTGTATGTCAAATGTTGACAAAGTTACTCTACTATTTATAAACACTAGCATTACACATACATTAACTAATAGCGCATTTTTAGCTTTAACTAATTGTAGTTATTTATGTACCTGTATGTTATGTGTAAAAATAAATGAAACAAACAAACCATCATCATTATTTATCACTGCCACAAACACTAACAACCAGCACCACAACCAACATCATTATCAATCACCATCACAACCAACATCATCATCAATCATCACCATTATCAATCACCATCACAACTAACTAACATATCATCACCAATCACCATCATCATTAATAACCATCACCAGTGGTGGATCCAAGAACTCCAAATAGATGGGTCCCAGGGAGGAACTTTCACAGATGTTGGGTCTACCAACTCAGCACCTCCATGGTTGGGGCTGAGGTAAAAAAAAAAAATATTTATGGCACCTCTAGATGGACCGATATGGCCACTCTCAGACCTATAATTAAATTATGATTATTATTTTTTTGGGGCCCCAGGCCGGCTCGTTCCCCCACTACCCCCTTGACTCTATCACTGATCAAAACCAACATCATCATAAATCACCATCACAACCAACATCATCATCAATCACTGGTCATCATCATAAATCACAACCAACATCATCATTTAATCACCATCTTCATTAATCACCATCATCAAATCAATCACCATCACAACCAACATTATCATTACTTGCCACACATCAACTCAACCACCAACACTATATAATAATGATCCTCACCATCAACATAGTTGTCACAATTCTACCATCATCTTCATTATAAATAAAATTATCAATTACCACCACCACCAAATCAATGACATCCTCTACCACCTTCACCATTCATCAATAATAATAATAATAATAACAGATTTCTTGATCTTAATGGTTCACTTTATATTGATGTAAGATATGAGATGGCTGGCTTTAGCTAACAGCACACAGCAAAATGTCCATTACCGCCATGCTCTCAGGATCTCATTATTGATGTTATCATTACAACTCCGCTATCTCTTTACTACCTTATGAACATAGAGTGCACACATCACCATAATGCTATTCATACACATATCCATTCCTTTATTTATACTCTGTAGCCACACTATTTGCTTTTTCAAATTCCACCTTCTGTAACTTTCCACTGAAATAATTCCATTATAAATTAATATATTCATTGATAAATAATCTATTTATTATCAATAAGTGAATTGTGTTTGATACATAATCTTACAATATGCAAATTTCATTAAAAAATGAAATATTTATATACAGTATATAGTGGGTTATAGTCATTTTGAGGGTGGGAGGTGGGTTACACTGGTAAAGAAATAAAATAATATGGAGTAAATTAATTAAGGATGCCGGTAAAGAGGGTTAAAAAAAGATGGGTGGAGGGTAATTTAGCTTTTGACTGGGTGGAAAACTATGGCTAGATGTCCGCACCCACCTCTGCCCACCATAAATACATCGATAATAATAGAATATAGAACAGTCTATAATCTACAGTTATAGAAACACATTTTCAGGGATCGTGAATATATCAAGACACTGCTATCAACATTCCTTTTATTATTTTTTTAAATATTTTACTTATTATGATGGTTATGATGATGATTATAATACTAATAATGATGATGATAATGGTGACGATATGATGATGATTATGGTGATGATGGTTATGATTACGATGATAATGATGACCATCAACTTGTACGAAAAAAAAGAAATCATTTTGTCAGTTTCTTCAGTAGCGGTACCCAAGACAAGGATATGGTGATGATTAGTTTTAATTATTGTTTAGTACTGTAGATTTGAGGTGTGGAATACATCTACTTGTTGACAGTAGCTTCTTTGTTAATTTCATTCCTTCCTGGCAACTCCTTTTTACTTTGTTATTGTATATTTGTTATTTCATGTTGTATTTGCATGAATAAATATAATAATAATAATAATAATAATAATAATAATAATAACAATAATAATAACAATAATAATAATAATAATGGTGATGATGGTTATGATGATTACGTATGATGATGATTATGATGATGATGATGGTGATGACCATCAACCTCTTAAAAAGAAATATTTTTCTCATTTACTTGAGTAGTGGTACCCAAGACAATAATAGGCGGTGGCGCATTCCATTGTACAATGGCATGTTCTACGCTGTGTGACCTATGTATATATTTCACTATTAATATGATTACTTGTCGCATATCGTCTGATCAGAATGGACATTTTTATCGAACCATAAAAGAATTTACTGATAAAAGATTATAATGGTTCAGATTGGATGTTTCCAAATGCATCCACATTTCCCTCAGACAATTTTTAGTAAATATATGAATTACTACGACTAAAGTTACTCTCTGAAAGAAGGTGAATTTTGTATTAAAAAAGGCAGATATTTTTATTATTATTTTTTTTGGATTCAGCGACCTTACCTTACAAACATCCAATTCATATTGCGAATCAAGGTGATCTTGTGCCGACATCCAACGCGTCTCCATAACGCTCTTCACCAGTAGCGTGTCATTCTGATATTCTTTACATTTGCGTAAAATATCAGTAAAGTTTGTACTTGCGGCCGAGCGAAGATCCTTGACACAACGAGGCCGGGTGGCCTCTGTGAAAAGGTCCTTGCTAATGGCCGGAGGAGCATGATAATGTCCACGAAACCCACTGTAGTCATCAAGGTTGGATTCAGCTGAAAAAATAATAAAGATAACTTCAATAATAGGACGTTGTACAGCAAATACAGAATATAATGTAATGTAATGCATATAAATTTGCTATAGCGTGTAAACCAGGTCTCAATAACCCCTATTTAAGTTCTGCTTAACATACAACAATAATTCATACAGCACCATTATTTTAATAATTAAAATTCAATTTAATATAGTTAGTAAATAAAAGATTGGATAAAGCAATGGGAAAATATAGTTGATGAAATACAGTTTACCAAGTTTACCATGTTTCTTCAGTTTCTTATGATCAACAAGACAAGGCCCAGGTATGGTGTATATAGTTTGATATCTAATTTGAGACCATCTTGCTATGTATAGACTAACAATTGTTAATATCTTTTAACAAAGCCAGCCCTCTAATTGGAGACCAAAAACTTTGCAGACCACTCCAAATTTTCAGTTCCCAAAGTCACCAGGTTTGTGAAAATTAAAGTAAATACAATTTAAACAATAAGCTAATTAAAAAAAAATTAATACAAAAATGAATACAGAATGCAGTCCTGAATTCTGAAACACATACGATCAAGCAAGGGATTAGTCGAGCAAATGCCTTCAATATTATCAAGCTTATATATTAAAATATTAAGATGAATTATTTATAAATATGTTCTATAGAAAGTATAAATCCAATTGGGCTTTCTTGCATCTTCTTGATCTAAAATGATATTTAAAAGAAAATAAAGCATAAGGTCATAAAGTACCAACTCTTAAAGTCAGATTCTAAGTAATTAGAATTATTAAAATTTCTGTAAACCAACCCTATTGTACAGTATCCCCACCGAAGACAACAAAAACATTAACAAAAAATCTAAATAGTAAAAGAATAAATTAATCATATGACATAGAGTTTTCACGTTTCAATATAACAGATTTATTATTAAAAAAAAATGTTTTCATGGATTTACAGGCATTTTACTATGGCCAGACTTCCTGTAAGAAAGAGTATTTATGCAAAAGACCAAATAAATCTTGTGCGTGTGTTGTTTGTTCAGCTGAACCCATTTTCAGTTGGGTGTTGTGGAGAACTACAATAACTGTTGGAAGTCCCTTCCTCAAACAATTAAATGCAATGCTGGTTTGTCTACTTCCTCTTATAGAAGGATACTTATTAAGGTTCGTTCATCTCCTTGGTGACTGGTATACATTAACAATGTTTGCACCAGTATTTGATACAAGTTATTTTTTATTGGATCTTTATGAAATTTTCTACATAATGATATATATTTATACTGTATTACAATCTATTAAATTAAAAAGAAGAATGAAGAAGTGACTAAAACCACTTCTATAAATTTACTGTACACTTGCTGCTTTGTGTATTAAACTTATAATTTGTTTGTTGTGATGAGGACTCCCCTGCGAATCAGCTTAGCTGTAGTGGGACTTCCTCTTAAAAAATAAATTAAAAAAAAAGAAAGATACAGTAGAAAACAGAATTCTTTATTTAAACTATTTGGCAAGGTATACTTTTTCTCAAATCTATTTTTCAGATGGAAGTTACTGAATATGAAAATTAAGCTGTAATTCATTTTTGCTTTCCAGTTTACATTGAATATGCTGTTTGTTCTCGGTTGTAATCCTGACGGGAATAATAGAATTTCAAACGATATATAAATATGTTTTTATATGCAGCACAGAGACCCAATGAATTATCATTGTCATATATGTTTAATGTTGCAGTATGGAAAGAATTACGATAGTGCCTAGCGCTTATGGCTATGCTCTGGGTGTTGCATCACCATTGTCATTAGCTATATTGTATTATACGACACCTCTTTAAATACTTGCAATTTGATTGGTTGCTTGTAGGTCACATGGGATTAAATTATTGGTTACATTCGAAAGTACGTTGCACAGCTGACCTCGCTTTTTGATAATTTTTGTACCATCCGCATGTTGCGCTAGATGCAATTTTAGTTCCAGTCGATAAACAACGCTGCCCATGAAAAAGGTAAAGAAATGTGGGTCGATCGCACACAATCTTTGACATGTGGACGCCATCCATGCGCAGATAATCTAGGTAGTCAAACAGCCAATGCAAATCATAATAGTGAAGTATAAAACATGTATTTTTCTCATTCGTGCAACAGGAAAAGAAATTCAACTTGACTACGCCTTGTAGAATAGAATACCTAGTCTTTCACCTATTAAAATATTTTATTCCATTCATAAACATTCATCATATAATATTGTTACCTAAATATTGTACAAATAAAAAAAAAATTGAAATTATGTAATTTTTCTTCCTAATTCCATTCCTCTGCAATATGGATTACATCCCATAATAAAGTACTATTTTGAAGGAGTTTTGTTGTCCATCAAAAAGATATCAAGTTCAGATTGAGAATGGCCATGCAAGAAAACCTGATAGTGATTATAAAAGTCAACAAATTCTAAGGATATATTGCGTATTTTCCACTTGAAACAATATTGTCAGGCTTATCTAATTAGAGTGAACAACAGGGAATCGCACAAATTACTAGTACGTCATATCCACACTGCATATTATAGACCTGCAGGCTACGTATGTATTATAAACACCAAGTTATATGCAAGGATTGTATAAATTACTGTTATTATTTCATTATACTATATTTAATATGCTAAAATACGTATGAAGGGGCTTTATTACTATTAAAAGGCATTCAAGTTCTTAAAGTTCAAAGTTCACAGTAAATTACAATAATAGGCCTTTGCCACATAGAAACACTAAGGTACTGTATCTAGGTATGCAACGATTGTATAAATTACTATTATTATTTCATTATACTATATTTATACTAAAGGTATTAGGGGGCTCAATATTAAAAAGAATTAAAGTACCTAGTATTTTAAGGTGCTTTTTTATTTTTCAATTATGCTTTTAGTAATTATACATACTCATTGCTGACTAAATGTTTAAGATATAAATTATATAATATTTAAATTATTGTTAATATTATTTATGAAATATAGGAATTATCTTCAAATTAAAAAAAAAAACTATTATTAAAATAACTTTCATATTCTATACACATTATTATTATGGTTTACTGTTGGCGGTTGGCGCACCGGTTGTGGCTTGGACTCCCAACCTTGAGGTCGGGGGTTCGAAACTCTGGCTGTGCAAATTGCTTGTGTCCTTGGGCAAGGCACTTTATCTACCGTTGCCTCTCTCCACCCAGGAGTACAAGTAGGTACCTGGTAGGTTCCAACACAACCTGCGCTGATTACTAGCTGCAATTTATTGAATGATAATATAATTTCATTTACTAATTTAATTTGGTGTTTCAATGTGTTCCATATGTTTGATCTAATGACCGGGGTAATAATGTGAAGCGCTTAGGGGCCTTGTAAAGGCATGAAGCGCTATATAAGAACGACATATTATTATTACTGTATTATTATTATTATCATTATTTATCACAAATCATATATTACCATAGCAGTAAACATCATTTAATAATATACACATTTCATAATTTTATCTCATGGTTATTACCATTAATTACTATATATTTAGTAACTGCCAAAATAATACACTAATTATTTTATTTCTAAATTTATTTTTACATCACTGCAAATATTTTGTATAGGTTTAACAATATCTATTGTATTTAGTTGATGATTATCCCTTGACTATGTCTAAACATGTGGTATTAGATAATTTTCTCTTGTGGACATACAATTATTACAATAACAATTTTATAGCCAGCAAAAATACAAATTAATAAAGTAATCAAGGATCTACATTGGATTATCGACTATTTTTGTAAAACTATTTGCATAAAGGTTATTGGCATATCTATTGGAATATATAACAGTGGTTTCTAGAGTATAAACCCACTACTTACTTTACTGTATGTCCACTTTCATGTACCCTTTCCTCCTTGGCCCAATTTTGTGTCCATGAAGGATGGGCTTACTGTATACCATGAGGAACTAAAGTATATATTTAAGCTATTGCTCCAATATGCGACTAAGCACAAAGCAGGGAACTAATTGTGCCCCACGTTTGTCGGCCGACGTGAATATATTGTATATAGAATTTAATGTAACTCTAGAGCGAGCCAAATGGCCGAGCGGTTAAGGCAGGGGCACCGTGATCATAGCCAACAATATCAGCACGGGTTCGTGGCCAGCTCGCTCCTATAGTTCTGGTGGTGGAACAAGTCTTCTCAGATGATAAGGACTATAAACCGTAGGCCCAGTGTACACAAATGCTCATGTGCACTTTAAAGAACCCAGTACATCTTTCGAGATGAGTAGGGGGTTACACCGGTATACTGGTTCACTTGTCCCCTGTCGTGGACAGATAAAGTGCGCCGGTTTACTGGCTGCAGAGGACATGAAGTGACCCTCAGGGGAGGAGAAAGTTATTGTAAAGTGCAACATCTAGTCCTGACCGCATAGAGACCTCGTTTATTTGCGCTATATAAATCCATCTCTTATTATTATTATCACGAGCACAACAAATCGTTTTTAATGACGATCCGTTCAGATTGACACCGACAATCATCTGATGGTGTCGCGTCATCTAGCACTCACAGGAAGTGGAGTTGGATTCGTCGTACGACTGTAAGTGTCAGAACGCAGCGAGGGCCCTGTCCACATTTATCTAATTTTATGCGACAAATACCCATGATTAGCACACAGGGTGTGATATAAACAACACTTATTGTGAGAACAGAGCTTAAACCAAACTAGTTTTAAATTTAATTCATTTATTTGTCTCAAAAACATTAAAATTTACAAGAAACAGCAAGGTACAAGAAACTTATGATCCAAAGTAGATCTCGCTGAACTGTCCAATTTTTCTGGGTTTTATTTCCTGATGTTTCATCTGGTGTCGCCAATAATATTATTATTATTATTATTATTATTATTTATTTAAAATAACATGAGACAGGATCACCACAAAAGTGAACTAAATCTCTGTCGAGTGGGGGCCCTTTGACAAAAAAAAAAAACAACAAATGCT